CCTTTGCCCGAAATTTGTCCGATCATATCGAATTAACTGCAACAGGTCATGTCTAACCCATTTCATCCCATTTAGCACGTTCTGTAGTAATAGTCTGATCCCCTAGTCGCTCTTGTCAGAAGTCTGCCAACTATACAAAAGGATAAAGTAGTTGGATCTAGTTGGTCCATATGGAAGACGCCGTATCACGGCTTTTATCTATTATATAGAAGCACCAAACTTATTCCATATCCATACATGAATTGTGAAGACTGGCTATTATGGCCTTTCGGCTGCTAATCAGCTCCTGTGCCAGAAGGTTTGCTTGGTCTTGCAGCTGTATGGCTGAGGTAGACATCTCTGGGAGACGGGCTGTTCGGTTAGGGTTAGGAACCTCATACCACACATTAGCCATTCTCACTGGTTCATTACAGCTATTTTTGAACAGAGTAATGAAAAATGGGTCTGATCCACTGTTGGTCGATGTGTGTCCCTTGATGCTATCACCCGAAGATTATTGGAATGGCGCACTCGTTCAGATGCGCCATGCACTCGACTCCCCCTCAGAAATATGTGACGCAATTCAGTGCAATGTTTATAAATGACTTGAAATCAATAAATAGAAGCCATTTTGGTGGGAAAACAGACGATTACCTGGCTGGCAACTTTCACTCATCGGCATTAGAAAAACCTCTTCTCACCCTAATTATATACCTATTTATTCGGTCCATCTGAGGTCAGCTTGTCAGGAAGATTCTTTTCGAGTCCTTTCACACTAGCAAATTTCCTTGGTAAGCGACCATGGAAGAAAACTGTTGCTCCGTCCGAAGTGCGATACTGTTCTACTAGCTATCCAAAAGACAGACCCAGTGGGCAAGAACACCGCGACCATGGAACCTTCCCCATTGATGGGTTCCTATTCCTTTACAGAGAAACCGTTTGGAATGGCATATCAAAAATTTCGACTTCGGAAGCAGAGAACACGCTGTGTCCGAATTAGTAGAGCCTTATTAACCGTATCCGTATCGCTGTTATAAGGCTTATAAAACGCTGATTTTCCACTTTAATTGTACCTGAATTCTGATTACAGATCCAAAAGTAGGGCGTGGAGCAGCTTATTTCAAATACCGTTGCTATCACGAACATATTTTGCGAATCGAGTTCCTTCAGATCGGCCAAGTCACTGATCCCTTCAATATTCAGTAGCCCATTTGTCTGAAAAAAATGAAGGAACGGCACTTTATTGACTGTTTACCACGCAATCCATTGTACGAGCCCTGTGCCCATCCAAATCCCTCTACGTTGTTGAACGGATGTCGGATACATGGCGGAACTTGAAAACTGTGATGGGCGCCAACTGGTCGATAGACTGATCGATTCGATTCTTTTACTCAAACGAATTGCTCATCTGTAAGGGATTCCCGAACGAGTTCT